ATATATATATATATATAAGCTAGAAGAGTTATTGAAATATGGAACATATAAGGGCAGTATTATATGTTTTTCTTTGTTGGTTATGGACATATGCCACTGTAGGAAGGGATGAATTGAATAAATCAGCTCCTTTGTTTACTCAGTAGTATTTACTGCATTGTCTGTAGCTGGATGTTTTACAGCATGTTCGATAATGATTTACATATTCTGGGCTCCTAACTTGGAAGAATGCATTGATATATTTTACTATAGCATGTGTAAGCAGCTTAAGCAGTGTCCTGTTGTAAGATGCTTAACAAAGTGATACTTTCCTTATGAAAACCATTGTTTTTTAAGTATCTATTTTCTGTTTGAAATTTCTATTAATCAGATTTTAATAGATTATAATGTTATTATGGTTTTATCAAACCTTAGTAGGTTAAAGGTTTTTTTTTGTCAATATAGAGATTCTATTTTTTTCCTTTTGTGCTTATAAATTTGACTATCCACTTTCACATATAATTTGTATGTTTGCATCTACATAATTATTGATTGGAAAGTATTAAATTACACAAATTAACACTAAAATAAAAATTCTTTTGTGTGTGATAGAATCCACATTCCTGTAAAGACTTCTCTTTTTCCCAGCATTTCAGTGCTTCTCTGTCTGGAAGAGAGTGTGAATAACTGGTAATTTGTCTTGCAATTCACATGTGTGCACATGATAAAGAGACACACAATTAGATAGGTGTTATAAATAGGATATGGGAAAAAAGACAAACTGCCTCATGTTTCCAGGACTTCATAGCATATGCCCAGTGAAGCTTTGCTGCTCTTTAATTTTGCTTTTTGGTCTAACTAGCTGGTGCTCAGTTGAAAAAGACTTATGTTCTTATGTGGCCACAAAAGCCTTAATGTTCATTCTCCAGCCACCTCAGATTTTGGAGGACGCTGTGTTCCATCAGCAGCTTCAGGTCCCACCCTCTTACACTAAGGCTCATCTATCAAACTTGAGGCTGCCAGTGAGGGAGAGGAAGCTTCCAGATAAACATACAGCAGTGCCTAAACACTAATCACTCTAGGCTTCCGCTTCCAGGCCCTATAATTAGAAGTCCTTCTTTTCCTTGTATTCCCAGATGACGCAAATGCTTTTTGTGGCTTGGCACCTCATTTGGGGCGTGGGTTTAGTTTATGGCCAGGCCAGAGTCTGGTTTAGTCTTCTGATGCTGCATAAATAGTTCTCAAGCCACAGTCTACTCCGTATGAGTTTTCCTTTTATGTATATGTGCTTTTTAACTTGTTATCTAGAAAATAAAGACTTTACTATTTCCTCCACAGAATGTGTGCAAAAGTGGAAATTGTAAATTATAAGACATCACATGATATATATTCCTGTATTGGCTATTTCTTCCTTTCTCTCTGCTTTTTAAATTTTTTTATATTATTTGAAAAGTTTTGTTAAAAATTTAACTTACTTGTGATTTATAGAAGTGACATTTGCATGGAAGGCTGAACAAAGTATATGAGAAAAGATACACAGATGATAATAGGTACAAATTTTCAATGAACTGTCTCTTTAAAAAATTGACTTGGTTTTACATAATAACTAGACATTTTTGAGAATCATTCATCTGTGATTATCATTCATATATAAAACACTAATGGTCTTCATTTTGCAAATCTTTTTATTTGAATGCTCATCATGAACAAAATGTTGAAAGGATTTTTTTTTTTTTGGCCTGGGGTTTGAACTCAGGGCCTACACTTTGAGTCACTCACCAACCCTTTTTTGTGATGGGTTTTTTCAAGATAGGGTCTCACAAACTATTTGCCTGGGTTGACTTCGAACTGCAGTTCTCCTGAGTAGTTGGATTACAGGCGTGAGCCCCCCAGTCCGGCCTGTTGAAAGGATTTTTAAAATAAATATGGTGATGTTATCTATAGTACGCAAGGGATAGATGTTTATTATAAACTCAAGGTCCTAATATTTACTGTCAGAATGATCTTTCTGTTGAATCACTTTCTTATGAGGAGATGGAATCAGAACATAGTAGTGGACTGTTGATGATTCTAACATTATAAGTTAGCAAAAAGCAGGAGGTGTGGCAAAATACTTTCCACAAAGGCAAAAGGTATTTAGGACTAAACTTAGAGATTTAGTGTTTGAATTGCAAAAAGTAATGAATACAAAGTGTATCAATGACTTCAGAATCTATTGGTTGAATAATAGGAGGCAAGGTAATATATAATTAAGTTGTATCAAGTATCATTTAATTATTTATAATAAACATCACTGTTCAACATCTAAAATCTGTTCTCTTTGAAATAGCCAGGGCAGTGGTATCTGATATTTTACTCCAATGGTGTAACTATTGCTGTACCTTCGCCAAGCAAACAGCAAACTCAGATATATGTTATATTTCCATTTTAGTGACTACCTTGTTTCCCCAAAGATGTTTAATATGCTTCCATCTTTTTCTCTCAACAGGGATAAGTTTTAGAAGTTAGCTAATGAGATTCCACTTACGGAAAAGCATTAGAATCTTACAAACTGTTCTTCCTGTAGAAAACAATAATAAAATCTGCACAAAAGCAGTGGAACAGAGACAGAAGGTTATGTGTGTGTATTTTATTCTCTAGAACAACCAATTAATAATATATAGGTATATTCCAGGTAAAAATGAAATATTAAGAATAGTTGGAGGTTTGGTTTAGGTGGTAGCGTGCTTGCCTGCCAAGTGCAAGGCCTCGAGTTCAAACCCCAGTACCACCAGAAAAAATAGACCAAAAGGCATGTTATGAGAAATAAAAGCAAGGAATCAAGCACAAAAATATAAAATAATACAGTGGTAGATTTACACCCTATCCTACCAATAAGTAAACTAAATGTGACTGAGCTAAAAGCACCAACTAAAAGATTGTATTAAAAAAGAGAGCCCCAAAAAGGAACTTGTTATATATTGAATCACATTAATAGATTTTGAATGAAAAGAAGGAAAAATATGTACCGGGGATGTACCAATTGAAACTTTCTGGAATGCTGATGCTAATAACAAAACAAGCAGACTCCAGAGCAAGGAAAACACAAGGGCTAATATTAGATATCATATCAAAAGGGACATCTACCAAGAATTCATTATAATCTGAAGTATATATAAATCTTGTAAAAGAGCTCTAAAATTTCTAAATCTGATGTAACTTTTGAAAAATAAAGGTATCCATAAAAGCTGAAGCATGGTTCAATTGGGAGAGCATCTAACTAGCAAGCAGAAGGTCCTGAGTTCAAACCCCTGTACCGTCAATAAGAAAAAGGTGCAGCAAATATTATTTAATAAAAAAAAACCCAGCAGCATGTAATTAAAGGAAGGACTAATCAACATTTGATATTCTTCGTTAAAAATCACCGTAATTTGCCACACACAGAGGTAGGTGCATGTCTGTAATCCTAGCTACTTGAAAGATGGAGATAGGATTGAGGTTTAAGGAGAACCCAGGAAAAAGTTATGAAGACTGTACTCCAGAAACAATCTGGGTGTGTTTACTCATGTCTGTAATCCCAGCTATTTTGTAGGAAAATTGCAGGTCAGTGTAAAATGTTGGACAATTAGGTCCAAGCAACAGCACAAGACCTGTCCGAGAAACAAACTAAAGCAAAACAACAGGGTGTGTGGCTTAAGTGGTGGAGTGCTTGCCTTGCATGCTCAAGGCCCTGAGTTAAATCCCCAATAGTTAATTCCCCACCCCATAAAAATCAACATATTAATTGAATGTGGTCCGTATACACAGTGGAATAAGATTTAGCCAAAGAAAGGAATGAAATTATGTCATTTGTGATATCATAGATGAAAATGATGATAATTTGAAACAAGCCGGGATCAGAAGCACAAATACTGTATGATCTTACTTATCTGTGGAATCTAAAAAAGTTCATCTCCTAGATGTTGAGAGTAGACTGGTAAGTCCCAGGGTCCAGGAGAGCAGTGAGAAGTTAGGGAGGGGGAAAGGTTGCTCAGTGAGTTCTTAGAGACTCAAAGATACACCTTTGTTTGTTTGTTTGTTAATTGATTTTTGATTCTGGGGTTTTAACCTGTGGCATGCTGAATGCTAAGTATGCACATTACAGACAAGGGTTTAAATATTTAAATAAACAGATCATCAAATAAGCACCATTTACATAAAAAATGGCCCTATGTATCTTATATTCATTTGCTAAGGGATTTTGATAAATGTGTCATTTCTTGGGTTAGTTTAAAAACCATGAATTGAAAACAAAACCAGAAAACTATTAAATTTTTAAAAGAAATCTGAAAATCCTCATGACATAGAATTTTTAACCATGACATTTTTTAAAATAATTAAGATATTTGTGTTGCTAAATTATAGTAACATTTCATTTACTTACTTTTACAATTACAATGTGATTATGATAAGGTTTTACAAATACTAAGAACTACTGGATTTGAAGATTCACAAAGTATTGGAGGAAAAAACTCATTGACGTCTCAATAATTAACATTAAGTTACAAGTCTTGACTATTATTTACTTTATTACAAATTATTCCATATTGTTTTTAAAAAATGTAAAACAATACTTTTGTACTTAAATCAGCAGAAGACAAATTTTAGATTGGTAAATTAGGTGGGGAAATGAGTAATCTTATTGATAAGTACATTGAACTTAGGTTCAAGTTTGTAAGATGGTGGGCATCATTTTTACATTCTTTGTTTTGAAAGTGATTCTGAATTTCAGGCATATAAAATTTCTGTCTGCTAGTCACATGGCAACGTCATATATCTATACATCTGATAGTTGCATTCTGCAGGCACACTTGGGTAGCATCATGTTTACTACTCACAAGAAGAAAATATTTTGTTTTAGTTTTTTTTATTTTGAAAGCTTTTCTATGTCCTTGGTAAAGTTTTCTATAGTAATATTTTAAAATATTATGGAAAAATTTAAAAATATTTCATCCACATACATAATCATTTTTTTTATCTCTTGCTTTTTTTTTATATTTCAGGAATGCTTTTAGTCACAACAGACACCCTTGGCCATGACTTTCATGTCTTCCAAATTTTGACTCATCCTTGGTCCTCATCACAAAGTGCTGTCCATCATCTATACACTCTTCACAGGGGAGAAACTGAAGCCAAAGTAAGTTGTGTTTTTCTCCCAAAGGTGTTTTCTTTGAGTAGTATACTCAAATTTTCTACTATATGTGAGAAAATTTCGTTCTCTTGTGTGTTATAATAAAAAACCTAAGCAATAGGTGAACACTTTACTGTTAAAAACTCAGCAAATGTTGATAAGTTAGTAGACTAGTTCATCCTATATTTCCTTCAGTACTAATACCATTTTTTGCCCTAGATAAAAAGCTTTTAGTAGGAACATTTATCCTACTTACATATCTCTCTCTCTGCCTCCCTCTCTCTATATATATATAGATAGATAGGTATAAAGAAAGAAAGAAAGATAGATAGGGAGATACATAGATAGGTAGATAAAGATCGATAGATATAGATGTATAGATAGATTTGCATATAGACATGTCTGCATGAACATAGTTTTCATAATGGATGTGGGTATATGGATATACCGAGGCAATTCACAAAGGCTAGTTACATTAATTATGCACATCTTTCCCCACCACTATGCTATCACATTGGTAGTGTGAAATCATCTTTTCTGGATATGTTTGATCATGAAAATTGGTAAACCCTGTAAACCGGGCAGGATATATTTTTTTTCTCAGATGCCCAGTAGTTAAACATTTATACGAACAACTATGCAAACATGCATGGTCACACATTCATAGATATAATTTACTAATTATTATTTTTGTCACCATGCTAGATGATTTATATGTATTTAGTATTCTAAATATCACATGGTAGTTACTGTATATTATCTCACTAGCTTAAAATCTCACATAGCCTTGTTTCCCAGAGAAGATGATTATGCATTTACCAATATGCCACCACATATCCGTTATTCTTGGAGATAACCAAGTAGCCAAACCATCCTAGGCTGTCTAAAGTGCTATTAAATTTCTTCTAAAACATATGACTATAATAGAATAAAATATCTTAAATACAGAAGTCCAAGAGTTCATAATGATATGTACAAGGGAAGAAAGCATTGGGTGTTATTGCAGGAAGCTTTTTACTAACTTGCTATTCGTAATGTTGATAAAGAGTAAATATCCAGAATTTACCCACTTTTTTTGGTAGTAATTTAATAAGATCACCAAATAGTTGTTAAGGACAAGTTTTTCTTTCACAGAATTCCAACAAAAAATAAGAATAACAGGTAGTTTTCTTAAACTAATTGACTTAGGCAAGGCAATAGTCATCTATTTGGTTTTACTAAAGTGGATCCAGTCAGATGTTATGTGCTCAATAATATGATGCAATAATGTACGCACGACATTCTCTGTGAATTATTCTTATCTTATCCTTTAGTTTATTCTCTAGGTAGAATTAACACCACCCTACCACTTGAGCTACATCCCTAGTCCTTTTGTTTTCAGTTTGATTTTCACATAGGGTTTATCACTAACTTTGCCCAGGCTGGCCTCAGACCACGAACTCCCTCCCTCACCATACCTGGATTCTACAGATATAAATTTTTCTTAAGGTTCTTGGTGTCTCTGTTGATTTTTATTTTCTTGGTATAAATGTTTGGTACTTCCAAGGGAATTCCTATTTAACAAGTAGGCGAACCAAATAGAATTTATTAAAGTGATTTTGTTTTAGGATACATCTTACAATTTGGAATTTCTAAGCTCCAAACATCAAGATTTAAAGATTTCCCTTGTTGATTTTAAAATTAATCCTTTTAAACTTTTCCTAGAAATTATTTTAAACTTAAAATTTAACACCACCTTTGAAATATGTATGGCACATGATCTACCCAACCATCTCTGAGTACTTCACAGTCATATTATTCTGAACTCTTCCAAGAATTCTGAGGGCACTTTAATCAGGCAAGGAAAAAATAAAGTATGTGGATCTAATTATGTTGAATTAAGTTGTTTTGTGGTCTTTGACTTGGGATATCCTCTGCATCTGACAGTAATTTTCCTCATAAAGCACATATGCAGGCCAAAAACTAGTCCTCGTTTCCACAGTAAGTATAAACGTTAGAAAGATTTTGTTAATACACATCCATAGTATCTTATTCAAGTAAACGTAGATCATTTTTGAACTTTACATACTAATTTTGGAAAGTAGCAAATTTGCTTTTGATAACCTCTGTACATAAGTAAGTGTAAATTCTTCTTTATTAAAATAGTGCTACAAAATAGTAAGATTAGTATCGTTCATTGTCAAGGTGAAAAGAAGCTAACTATTTAATATTAATAGATTCTATTTGATAGTCGCTTGAGATAAAATGCTACCTAGTTATTTTATATTGATAACTTTTTTTATATATTTTTTAAGCCTAGCAACCTGTCTCTGTAATATAATTTTCTTCAGTTCCCATATACTTTTCTTTAGTTTCCCCCCCAAAAAAACATGAGTTTTACTGAGATATACAGCTCATGGGTTTTTAGTATGTATCAGACAATGCAGATCATTGTCTCCAGCATCTACTTTCAGAATGTTTTCATATCCCTTAAAATAGAGCTCTCAGTAGAGCAGTCAGTACTCATTCTTATTTCCCTAGCTTCCCTATATAGTTAGATGTATACTTAATATGTATTCTAGGACAACCTAATTACTTTCTCTAAAGTTCATATTACTCATGTGTAAAATGAGGCCTGTTCCTATGTCATAGGGCATATTGAACAAATAGTAAATACCAGATTTAAAATGCTTAGCAAAACACCTGCCACAATGAATGCAAAATAAAGAGTCAGAATTAGGACCTCCAGTCTTGTTCAATTTAGAGAGGAACTGATTTACTCTTCTCCCTGAAACAACTCAATATTAAGTAGTTATTTTCCTTGGCACTGTATTTTGAAGGATTTTGGTTCCTGGTTTTTTTGTTGTTTATTTTTTTGTAGTACTCAGGATTGAGCCCAGGGCCTTGTGCTTGCTAGGCAAACACTTAACCACCGAGCTATAAAGCCCCATGGATTTTGATTCCTGAGAGAAGGGAAACAAATGAGAAGAGGCCTGTGATTACCTCAGCCTAATGCCTTCAGTGAGTTTCCAGTTTCCGTAGTCAGGAAGGGGGAATCCAGTTAGAACCTGGTGTCTACCTGAGTTAATGGAGATATTGCCAAGAGTCCAGGAACACCAAGCACAGGGATTCTGTGGAAAGAATCTGTGTGGGAGCTGTACTGGGAGAGACCCTAGAGATCTACAGTGGACCTCTGTGAACATAGAAAGAGCCACTTTCCGTCAAAATGGTGAAAGTAAAACTGAATTTAAAGATGATCTGGTTGTGCAGAAAATCTAAATTATTCTATTTAAAAAAGATGTAATAAATTACTTAGCTATGTTATAGGATATAGATCAATATATAAAAATAAAATGAGCTTCCACATACCAATAATATATTCTGAAAACTAGAAAACATTGCTGAAAGTAAATAAAAGACTAAGTAAATGGGGAGTAATAACTATTTTCTTGTGCTGGAATACATAAGATCATTATGTCAATTCTGTTCATGTTTATCTGTGGGTTCAGTATAATCCTCGTCAAAATCGTAGAGGGAGTTTCTTTTTCCTTCAAAATTAAGAAGCTAATTCTAAAATTCATTTGAAAATATGTAGATATTCATTTTTCTTTGTGTTTCTTTTGGGGGGAGTGCAGTACTAGGATTTGAACTCAGGGCTTCATGCTTGCTAAGCAGGTGGTCTTATCAATTGAACCACTGTGCCAACCCTTTTATGTTTTTGTGATGAGTTTTTTTTTTTTTGGGATAATGTCTATTCCCACTATGGAGTTCTAGAATGGTGCCATACATATAGACAATTTATGTTTTATAACAGTGCTTAGATATGAAGTTAGGAAAAAAAGGTTAGTCTTCTCAACAAATTTACTCAAATTGGATGACAGACATAAATGCATAACCCATAACTGTAAAAGGGTTATAAAGAAACCTAACCTGTGTCCCTTGGTTTAGACACAGATTTTTTAAAATGTGACACTAATAGCAAAATCATTTAAGCAAAATTTATAAATTATAGTTAATCACAATGAAACACAATCTTCTCTTTGAAAGAAATCATAAGATAAATAGAATATACAAGTTGTAGCCATATTATATATTTTTTTGTTTGCTGATACTGGAGTTTGAACTCAGGGCCTCACACTTCTTTGATAGGTATTCTACCACTTGAGCTACTCCACCAGCTTGTAGTCATTCTTTAAAGAACACTTAAGAGTCAGTGACTGAAGAAAATGGATTTCTCTTATCTCATATGTAGCTATTGGGTCTGAGAAATAGTATAACCACTATGGCATTTTCTTCAAATCCAGCAATCTTAGCTCTTAGTGCAGTCTGTACACAACATCAAATTTGCATTATTTGGGATAATGTTCAAAATTGCTTAATCTTTCTGTGGTTGCCATAACATTGTTATGAACTCTGGGGCTTACAATATTCAAACTTCACTCCCAAGAGTTCCAAATCAGTGGAGGTTCTAGGGAAGAACCTGTTTTTGCCTTTTCTAGCTTCTTGTGACCTTTAGCATTTCTTGACTAGTAGTCATACCACTTAGTCTATCTCTGTGGTCACTATGCACCCTTATCCCCTTCTGTGTTTCTTTTGAGATTGTTCTTCATACCAACACAGACCATCCAGGATGAGCTCCTCATCTCACATTTTTCCTAAGTTTCAGCCCTTTAACATTGTCTTTGGTGCAACTACCATTTCTGTCCAAAATTCTCCCCAGAATTCATGTCATGCCATGTATAAAATATCTTTATCTCATACCAGCATTCCTCAAACCCATCACAGCATCAACTCTGAAATTTCCTGGAGATGTCATTATCTCAAAAGCCCCAATCTCTTTAAAATCATTCAAGCCAGGTGTGGTTGAAACAATCTAGGGCATGTCTTCTTTCCATTTGTGGACCCATGAAATGATAATAGAATTTATCTGCTACTAAAATACAATCATAAGACATTCATAGTATAGATTTTCAAAAAGGGAGTAGTGGGAAGGAATAAAGGAGTCACTGTTCCCCAAACAAGTTTAA